GTCCTATCATCTTTTATGAGTGTCTAAAAAAAAAAGAAAAAAGAAAAAAAAGTTGTGTTTGAAGATCGAGGGAATCCCCGACTCAGCATGTGCGGGCGTGGATTGTGGTCGGCGTGGGCGGTCTGCTTCGTGGTTCTCCTCACCCACCTGCCGCCCACGAACCAGCTGCCGTACGTCATTAATATAGGTGAGTAAATCTGAATGCTTTTGATATTCTGTATATCATGTGTATCTATACTATTTGTCTATCAATGCATATGTCATCATTTGATATATTTATCTATCTATTAATCTATATATTATATATGCTTATATCTATTTATCTATCTATGTATATATTTTTATTATATCTATTTATCTATCTATTAATCTATATGTTAAATATAATATATATACATACATACATACATACATATATGTATATATATATATATATATATATATATATATATATATATATATATATATATATATATATAATATATATATATATATATATATATATATATATATATATACACAAATTTATTTATCTATGTATCCATCTTTATTATAAATATTTACCTTTTTATTTCGTGATGTTGAAAAATGTAAATAGACATGCAATCTGCATATTGTTTATCTATTCATTTTTCTGTGATAACAACCATTCTCTCAGAGTAATGTAAGAATATGTACTTTAAAAAATGTGTGGTGAGGAAACCCCATATGCGTAAACGATATTGCAAGTAAACACATAATTTTCAAATATGGCCCTTAATTATCTCCACTAATTATCCTATATAGATTAGGTAGGATGGGCGTTCCGATAAAGTATATCAACATATTTGAACATACGTATGTGTGCTACTTTGCGTGTGTGTATATGAGTATGTATGTGCTTATATATGTATGTGTGTACATATGTGTATGTGTATGCATGTGTACGTATGTCTAGGTCACTATTTCAGTGAGTATGTTCGAGTGTGTGCAAGAATGTGAGTGTATGTATATACACACGGATATACATGTATTTGTAGGTATGAGCGTATAATGCGTTTGTGACGACTGAGGTGTATGTTTTGTGTGTTTCTGTGTGTATGTACGAACGTGTGTGTGTGTGTTTCTGTGTGTGTGTGTGTGTGCGTGTGTGTGTGTGTGCGTTCATGCTAGTGTGAAGGTGTCATGGCCACTCGTGACATGCCAAAATCAAGGAAATGCATTTCTAATGATCCGGTAGTCAAAAATAAAATACGTTCGACATTTAATGTCCCGGCTTAATTCACGTTCATTATTTCATGTCAGAAACATGTTTACTTGTGATTTCATGCACCGCGCGTTTGATGTGATCAGAAACCGTGATGGATTATTAGAAATGTTATTATTGTTCAGGTTGTCATAAACGATTTAATTATCTTTGTGCTGTCATTGTGTTTCTGACTTTCGAATTTTGGAACGGTTGACACATTAACAAAAGGCTAAATTAACGCGGGGAATTCTAATATTAATTTGAAGTTTTATTGTTCTTTTATATTTCTCAGGTCCGGGGCTTAGTCTAGAGAACAGATTACTTGTTTACTCATACGCACGATAAAGAAAAATATGGTGTGAGATAGTTCCTTATTTTTCAGCTGATTTTGCAGAGAAAGAAGATGAAAAAATCTACTTCATTAGTTGGCTGAACATATACGTACCCTAGGAATTTAAATTGGTTTTTGGATTCTCTCTCTGTCTCTGTCCCTTCTCTCCCCGCCCCCCACCCTCTCTCTCTTTCATTCTTTCTGTTCCTCTCTTTCTATCTCTCTCTCTCTCTCTCTCTCTCTCTCTCTCTGTCTCTCTCTCTCTCTTCTCTCTTCTCTCTCTCTCTCTCTCTCTTTTCCTCCCTCCTCTCTCTCTTCTCTCTCTCTCTCTCTCTCTCTCTCTCTCTCTCTCTCTCTCTCTCTCTCTCTCTCTCTCTCTCTCTCTCTCTCTCTCTCTCTCTCTCCCTCTCCCTCTCCCTCTCTCTCTTTATCTATTTGTGTATTTCCCCCTCTCTCTTTGCCTTTCCCCTTTCTTTCTCCATTGTAATAGATTACATCAACATATTCGAAAATTGTCTTGCAGAAATGAAGGATGGACGTTTGCAGCAGAGACACAAACCAGACCGTAATTTGTTACGTCAATCTAAATCATGTTGGACACACGTTTTTTTTTTTTTTTTGAACGTTTGTGATGTATAAATTCATAAAAAAAACTCCCACTGGTTTTGTCATGAACTTCTCTCTTTCTTTTTTTGTTTCTAATTATACTTCTAGGAAAAAAGGGGGAAGAAAAAGGAAGTAATAAAGAGGAAAAGCAATATCGTTTGTTATTACTGTTGATGTTGGAAAAGTTTGTCATGCAGTATTATGTGTAGTTATTTCGTGTAGGTTTCTCAATTTTTCTTCTGCGAGTAAAAACTAGCTACATATAATTTATAGAATTCTGGCCAAGATAACGTCCTGTGTTTGCACTAAAAACACTGTTGATTTCAGTGAAGAATCTCCTTATTTACACAGAAACGTGGATCTTTGATTTGACTTGTCTCCCCTTGTTTAAATAGAAAACGGATTGCTTATTGAACTGAAGTCTGCCCTTGTTTGGATAGAAAACGGATTGTTTGTTTCGCCGGAGGTTCCTTTGTGTGCTGTCCATATGAATTAAAATCATATTGTTTACCTTCCATCTCTGACCACTTGCAAGTTACCAGAAAAATAACTTCAAAGTCAGTCAAGAAGCCGACTATTTATACGGATAATTGTTTTCAAAATGAACGTTCGGCTGTAAACGTCAGTAATCCCGAAAATTAACTAATTGAAAGAATTAGTTGTATAACACATAATGGAGTTGTTCATATTAAATAACGTTAAGTTGTAACCCACAATACTGAAATTTAACTAATTTTAAAGTTGTCTGACATATAAAAGCGTTCCTTATAATACATGATACACTATCCTTTTATCAGGCTGTAGAGATACTATAAGAAAAATTGTAATTATTATTATTGGTGTGATGTGTGGAGCAACGGTGGCGTTCTCGTCAAGTAATTTTGCTGACCTGCGTTCGATCCCGCGCGCTGCCAGTGGATGGTCACCCGGCCATTTCTTGCACACAGGGGGTAATTTAGAGGCAACTGAATAGACAGCATGTCACAGCCAAGAAGAATATCTATTGTAACAAATGGAATTAAACTAAACCTTTGTGGGTTCATAAATGTTTTATTTAGAAAGAAATCTGAATTCATGATCAAGCAGTTAATTGTTGTCTTGTTCTTTCCGTACTTTTGATTCTTTGCCCGAAGAGAGGATAATAACTTACATCAGCTCCTGCTGAATCTGTATGGATTTTTCTACTCTTATCTCTATGTCTATATATGTACACACACACACATACACACACACACACACACACACACACACACACACACACACACACACACACACACACACACACACACACACACACACACACACACACACACACACACACACACACACACACACACACACACACACACACACACACACACACACCTACACACACACACACACACACCTACACACACACACACACACACACACACACACACACACACACACACACACACACACACACACACACACACACACACACACACACACACCTACACACACACACACACACACTTTTTCAGTTTTTCCCCCTTTTCATTTCGATAAAAAAAAGAAAAAAAATACAGAAGACAACTGAATATTCTCATGTATACAGCGCCTGGGAATAAAGTGTTTATGTAAGCGCTGTTGTATACGTCTTCTTTGTCTGTTTGCTCATAGGAAATAGTAAAATGGGAGAATAAGAGAAATTCCGAAGAAAGGAGAAGGTAAAGAAGGAAAAAAAGTGGAAAAGGGAGAGGGAAAGGGAGAGGGAAAGAGTGAAAGATGGAGAGGGGGAAAGAGAGAGGGAGAGGGTGAGGGAAGGAAGAGGAAAGGATGAGACGGACAGATAGAGATAGATAAATAAATAGATAGATAGATAGAGAGATCGAAAGATGAAATGAGAAAGAAAAAGAAAGAAAGGAAGAGTGAAAGTGAGAGAGAGAGAGAGAGAGAGAGAGAGAGAGAGAGAGAGAGAGAGAGAGAGAGAGAGAGAGAGAGAGAGAGAGAGAGAGAGAGAGAGAGAGAGAAAATAATCATATATATATATATATATATATATATATATATATATATATATATATATATAATACATATATATATATATATATATATATATATATATATATATATATATATATATATATATATATATATATATATATATATATATATATATAATATATATAGAGAGAGAGAAGAGAGAGAGAGAGAGAGAGAAGAAGAAGAGAGAGAGAGAGAGAGAGAAAAGATAATCAGATAGATTAGATAGAGAGAGAGAGAGAAAGAGAGAGAGAGCGACGCCTAAACTTCTCATATAACTCCCCTTCCTCCCGGTTTTAGCTCGCATACCTTCTTTTCCCCGCTGGCGTCGGAGGCAGATTCGCCGAAGCCAATTGACTCGATCGTTGCGCTTGATTCATTCGATTTCCGAGTCGGCAGACAAGCGCCCGAGCGGAGGTAGTGTCTTGGGGAGCCTTCTGCGAGAATCTACGAGAAGCTGCGAGAAGCTGCGAGAATTTGTGCGAGGTTCTTCGGGAATCTACGAGAAGCTTCGAGAATTTGTGAGGTTCTTCGGGAATCTACGAGAAGCTTCGAGAGTTTGCGCGAGGTTCGGGGGGGAAATGTACGAGGAGCTTTGAGAGTTTGTGAGGCTCTTCGAGAAGATTCCGAGAAGCTGCGAGGTTCTTATTCTTGAATTTGTGAGAATCTTGCGAGAGAATCTAAGAGAGTTTGTGAAGTTTGTGAGGTTCTTCGGGAATCTACGGAAGTTTCGAGAGAATCTGCTTCTTCGAGAATTTGTGAGGTTCTTTCGGGAATTACGAAAGCTAGTTCTTCGGGAATCTACGAGAAGCTCGAGAAAGAATTGCTGAGGTTCTTCGGTTGCGAGAATTTGTTTCTTCGGGAATCTCTGCGAGAAATGTACGAGAGCGCTGAAATTTCTTCTTCGGGAATCTACGAGAAGCTGCGAGAATTTGTGAGGTTCTTTGAGAATCTACGAGAAGCTTCGAGAAATTAAGAAGTTCTTCTACGAGAAGCTTCAAGAATGTTCTTCGGG